TGATCTTCACCACAAACACAGAGGCCACTATGGTCTGTGTCCAGGTACTTTTTGTAACATTATCGCTGGTCTTAACAATAACTCCTCCAGAGAGGTGCTGTTGGCCTCACTTGGCCAAGACTCAGCAATGGGACCCTTGCCTGAGATGACTCAGTGGTTGCTGGGCAGGGCAGAGATGCAGGCTCAGGCCAGGCCATCATTGGAGGCCCTACCTTTCTCCCTGTCCGTACTACTGGTCTTAAACTGGGGTTCTGAACCCCAGAGGATCTGCAGTCACCTCTGGAAGAGCTCAGGATGCCTACAAGAAGTTTAAATTTTCATTTTGTTCACCATCTTCTTAATGTTAACCTAACCCCCGGAGCTTTCTTGAGGTCACTGGGGTGACCACCATCAGGTGGAACACACCTATGGAGTTTTGGTGCCTGTCCTTGCCATAGGGTGTATGACAGGTTGACTCTGAGGGATTCTATGGTACTGTGAGACAAGGTAGCTAACATCAGAAGCCATACACACTCATTTCTGCCTGCCAGTAATATGTCACAAGCCCCCAACTATATGACGACACACAGCTCTCCAGAAAGATGCTCTGAAAACAAAACGGGACAGCACACGGCCCCAACATCTCTTGCCTGGGTCACTGTATTCCTGAAAGGATGAATGACCCTAGTCCTTGCCTTTTTCTTCACATAACAACTGGCAGGGCTAGTGATTATGCTGTCGTAATCAATAACCAGATGTGTTTTGTGGTGTTTGTTTGTTTGTTTGTTTTTGAGACGGAGTCTCATTCTGTCACCCAGGCTGGAGTGCAGTGGTGTGATCTCAGCTCACTGCAAAGTCCGCCTCCTGGGTTCAAGAGATTCTTCTGCCTCAGCCTTCCAAGTAGCTGGGATTACCGGCGCACACCACCACACTAGGCTAATTTTTTGTATTTTTAGTAGAGACAAGGTTTCACCGTGTTGGCCAGGCTGGTCTCGAACTCCTGACCTCGTGATCCACCCGCCTCAGCCTCCCAACAGGTGTGCTCTTATACCCAACCTTGGTGGGACTCTGCTTTAATGTAACCTATGAGCAAGTGTGATGTGGTTTTGTACGCACTGAACATCCACAGCCCATCTATAAACTAGAAGCTAAAACACTACGCTGGGGCAGTCTAACAGAACCTCTCAGAAAGACCTTCCCTGGGCTGCAGTCTTCAGTAAGACTTCTCAATAAAACTAACTTTGATTCTTTAAAAGCTTAGTTTTTTCTTTAGTCAACAATGCAAAGGCAGATATTGCATCTCAGACATATGTTTGTGACATGAGAGCAGGAAATGAAGTCACAGCCTCCTCTATGAATGGAATCACAGCGATGAGAAGAGAGGCAGTGGTGTGAGAACTGAAATACCCCACATGGCTCCCATGGCCCGGGTTCCCATAGCCCAAAACACCATGAGCCACGGCACTCAGAACCTTGGGCGCGCCCACCCCAGTCATTGATATCATCGCATCAAAACAGCAGCGTTTGTCATGTTGAAGCATACTAGTTAATTTAAACTGTATCTGGCTTTACGGCCTTATTTGTATTGTATTGCAATTTCTAGTTTTAGAAATCCATAATACTATAAGCATAAAATGATCTTGATGCTCATTTCACTGACTAATAAAAATGATTTAATTGGCCCTGGTGCAGTGGCTCACACCTGTAATGCTAGCACTTTGGGAGGCCAAGGCGGGTGGATCACAAGGTCAGGAATTCGACACCAGCCTGGCCAACATAGTGAAACCCAGTCTCTACTAAAAATACAAAAAAATTACCCAGGTGTGGTGGTGGGCACTTATGTAATCCCAGCTATTCAGAAGGCTGAAACAGGAGAATCACTTGAACCCAGCAGGTGGAGGTTGCAGTGAGCTGAAATCGCACCATTGGACTCCAGCCTAGGTGACAGTGCGAGACTCAGTCTCAAAAAAAAAAAAAAAAAAAGATTTAATTGGATACCTGGGGGTCATTCAACGTCTTCCCTCTAAAAGCTGTTCAAATGTTGTTTGAATTTGAGAAGATACATTAAACCTGCTGTCCCCAACATTGATGGAAGATGGAACAATGGGTGTCATCATCCACCCTCATTTTTTTAATGAAGGAGTTGGAGTTCCACACAGAAGAACTTGCTCAATGTCATTCTTCTCATCTATGTTTGAACCAGAACCAGAGTTCCAAGTCTTCTAGGGTGGCAGAGGGCAGTCTAGAGAAAAGGTTGCAAACTGGTGGTCCATAGACAAACTTCGGTCTCTTCCTACAAAGTATTTAAAAATGAAGATCGTCCACATTAAAAATCCCGATTTTCCAGCTTCTCTTGAAAAATTAGACCTGATGACAGTGACCCACATTCCTACATGACAAACAGTGGTCAGGATTTGGACCCATTGCTCTGCATCGGGGGGCTCAGACCCACCTCAGGGCCTCTCAAGTCTCCTGGGCTTCTGCTCCAAGGCAAAGTCTGATTGAGCAGGTTTGCGGTGGGGCCTGAGGTTCTAACAGGCTCCCAGGTGGTGTGAATACTCCTGGTCCAGACATCTGACTCTGATCTCTTCTGCCTCCATCTTTCACTTTTAAGGACCTCTCTGCTTACACTGGGCCCATTTGGATAATCCAGGATCGTCTCCTTTTATAAAGTCAGATGACTAGCAACCTTAATTCCATCCGCAACCTTAGTTCCCCTTTGCCATGTCACCAAACATATTCACAAATTCTGAGGATTAGGTCCTGGGCATCTTTGGCGAGCCATTATTCTGCCTACTATATTCAGTAAATATGCATTATTTTGCTATTCAAATTAAGTTAATTTCACCTTTCTACCCTGCCCAAAGCCTTGGTCAGATAGGCAAGGTCATTAACATCTGGTTCCTCTAGCCCTCAGTAATGTCAACTCAGGTCCTTATTTGTTTTTCTCAGTAAAACCAACAGTAGCCAGCTGTTATCCTGTGGCTTTATAGAGACAGGCTGATGACAGGGAAATAGATTGGCCATGAAAAGTTCTACAAAGCCAGTGAGCACCCAGTCAAGGCCAATACCAGCTCAGGGGAGCTCAGACAGTTGAGAAGGTTAAGAATGAATATCTAATTTTAAAATCAGATGGCCAGGCATCATGGCTCATCCTTGCAATCCCAGCACTTTGGAAGGCCAAGGTGGGCAGTGGGCAGACCGCTTGAGTCCAGGAATTTGAGACCAGCATGCCCAACATGGTGAAACCCTATCTCTACCAGGAAAAAATACACACACACACATATATCCAGAAGCATATATATCTGTGTGTGTGTGTGTGTGTGTATACACGAAGTTATCTGGGTGTGGTGGCACACACCTCTAGTCCCAGCTACTTTGGAGGCCGAAGTGGGAGGATTGCTTGAGCTTGGGAGGTTGAAGCTGCAGTGAGCTATGATTTCGCCACTGCACTCCAGCTGGGAAGACACAGCAAGATCCTCTCTTAAAATAATAATAAACCAGAGCTTAAGCTCTGATTTATTATCATTATTTATAGAAGTGAGGTGCCTCCCACACCCACTGTGGAGCTGGAACCGCAGTGGCCTTCTGACTGTCCCCACCTACTCCCTGACTGTCCCCACCTACTCCCTTGGAAGAAAGGGAAGAGGCGAGTCTTCAGGCCAACATGGGTTTGTACATAGGCTCCTTCACCCACAGGCTATGTGACCTGGGGAGAAGGATTAACTCCCCTGGGCTTCCTTTTCCCCATCTGTAGGATGGGTGTGGTTACCCACACTTTGCAAGGCTGTTGCAAGAACTTGCAATGACATGTGGCACAGGGCAGATGCTCAGGGCTCCTGAGCAGTGACATTACATCTCATCCTCGGGTCCCCTGCAGCCTGATACATCCCAGAAAGAGTCATCTTCTGCTTCTGTGCTTTTGGTTTTCACTTCTCCATCCCTTTGCCCACAACCTGTTTCTTGCCCTCTGCAGGCTGAATGATCTCGAAGGCATTTCACACTACAGTCTCAAATTACTTTTTTAAAATCCTTTTGCTTCCACTAATAATGAATCAATACTTTGACGGTGTAAAATATTCTAACAATACAGAAATGAATTTATAAAGAGTAAAATATGCAAGTCCCTCTTAACTCTCACTCACTGCCCCGGACAACCTCTGCCAATAGTTTGGTGTATATTCATCTGCCCTTTGTATTCATTTGCATATATGTACATGCACATATACACATATAAAATGTCTCATATAAATATAGTACTGTGCATTGAGGTCCAGTTAGCCTAGGTGGGGCGCTTATGTCTCCTGCACATTTGTGCCCCTGCTGAGCCCCTGAAATTCCTGTGCCCCCTTCCTCTAGGCCTTTACTCTCTAGAAACGACTGGGTCAGATTCCACAGACTTCAAGCTGCCTTCCCACCTGCCTGCTTCCTCTTCTGAGTTCCAAGAACAGTTATTCAGTGAAATATACATTTCTCACCGGATAGATGTAAAGTCCTACATGCGGTCCACACATGTGTGCTTCCTTGTAGCCCTCTGCAGGGTCTAGAACAGATCTGGGCATGTTGTAGGCAGTTCACAAATAAATAGCAAGCATCGTGCTAATGTTTACCACTCAGAACTAACATTTATTGAGCACTTATCATGTGTTAGACAGTGCTAAGAACTTTTACTTAAGAGTCACACAACTAGCAAGTGGACGAGCCAGGATTCAAAGGCAGTCCCATTGACTTAGAGGTGCATGCTTTTACCCACCATGTTGTACTGGCTGTGGGTCTGTTGTGGGTGGATCCCAGTCAAGCCAGATCACACCTATTCCAGAGACCCCGGTGCTGCTAGTTTTATCTGTTCCTCTCCAGAAGCAGACCTGCTCTCCCCAAAAGAAGAGCCCCAGGCACTGACTTCATTCCCAATTTCAGCATGGACTTCCCACCCCAGCCCCCGTGGCCTCATCATCTTCCTCCTACATGGTCTTCATCACTGGCTTCCCAGCCTCAGTGTCTCAGCCATGCATTAGACTCACCTGAATTCTGCTCCCTGCACTCCGGCTTTCCTCCCATCCCCGGTCTCAGCCTTATCGTCCTGAGCCTCTGAAAGCTCAGGGAAAGCACAGCACCTGATTGTCTTAATCATGAATCATCAGTTCAACCCAGGTCCTGCTGACAGGAGGAAAGGGAGATTCAACACTGAGAAGCAGATACAGGTGCAGCTAGGGCATCTGCTCACTGCCATTAAGGCTGGTCCATCCACAGATGTGAGCACTCTGGAAGCTCCCCGCAGGAGAGGAAACACAGCATGAAGCAGGCTGAACGTGACAGTCAGTGTGTACTTGTGATGGAAGCATCTCAGCGCTCCCATTAAGAATGCTGTCATTCTCACCCGGGTTCCTGCTGACTTGAAGAACCCTGGGAGAGAACAGGGTTTTCTCAGCCTCATCAGCCAAGTTACCTACAAGCAAATTAGCTTTATGAAGCGGTGACATGATGATGATATAAGTATGAAGGGAGTACTGTAAGCAATTTTCCACTTTCTTTATTACACTATTTTTTTTCTGGCAAACTTATCAAAGTGAATCTCTCTAATTAGCTTCTGTAGTTGACGTGATTCCCAGAGCCAAGCCAGCAAATCAAGGGTCAGATGACACAGTGTTGTGTTAAAAGTGCATTATCAAAGGCTATACAATTTACAATTTTAAAAACTGTTCTCATGGCACATGCACTTGGCACATAGAATATGCAATACTGCTCGAAAACAAATGTATGAAAACTCACAGCACTGATATTCAATGAAATGCAACTAAGACATCAAATTACCATTTTACTTGATTAAATTGACCCTAAGTATTTTTTTAGTAAATGATGGCCAGTGCTGGGAATGCTGAGGTGAACCTGGTTCACTCATGCCTAATGGAAGCCATGGTCCAGTTGTACAAAGCTTTTGGGAAATAATTTGACAGTACACATCTAGAACACACGACATTTCTATCCTTTTGCTTGGTAATAAATGTTGGAGGGTTTTTACATGTTCTCACTTATAAGTGGGAGCTGAACAATGAGAACACATGGACACAGGGAGGGGAACAACACACACTGGGGCCTGTTGCGGGGTCAGGAAGAAGGAAAGCATAGGGAAGAATAGCTAATGCATGCTAGGCTTAATGCCTGGGTGATGGTTTGATAGGTGCAGCAAACCACTATGGCACACATTTACCTGTGTAACAACCCTGCACATCCTGCACATGCACCCCAGAGCTTAAAACAAATTTGTTTTTAATGGAGGGTTTTAACCAAAGCAGGAGAAGCTCCCAAGTAAAATGCTAAAGATCTAAGGAGGCTGATTACAGCATGATCTAAAATGGGAAAACCTGAAAACAATATAAATGTCCAACCACAGTATCTTGGCTAAATAATACACGATGCAGCAGCAATATTCTGCAGTCAATTAAAATGGTAATTATGAATATTTAGCAACAACAAAGTATATTTATGATAAAATGTTAAATGAAAATAGAATACAACTCAAGTTCCTTATCATCTTACCTGTGTCCCCATTCAACCAGAGACTCAGAAGGAATTCCCAGCAATGAAAATAGTAGTATCAGCATTTATGTGAGACTTTTTTTAATCAAAATTACCTTTAATATAACTGTGTTTATAAAATAAATTTTAACACTGTTGAGCTTGTACATATTAATGCTGAGATTTTAATTTTTTTTTCCTTCTGCCAAAGTATATCTTTTGTGGCTGGAATAATCAGCCTTCTGCTCCCCCAGTAAGTAGCTAAGCTTTTCAGCCTGTATTATTCCTTTATCTACCTAAGTGCCCTGGGATAAAAGCCCCAGTCTTTCAACACAGCACCATGAGAGATGGGACTTGTATCAGCGAATTTAGCAAAAGTCAGTGGCATAATGATTCATCGTTGCCCGAAATCAAAGTGTTTTTTCTTAAAAAGGGAGAGTTGTAAACTTAATCCCTGCTTTTTGATCCTAGCCAGGCTAGGGGCAGGAGAGATAAACTTTAAGAAATAAAATAAATGAGTTCAATAAGGATTATGTGCTTACTGTGTGCTCCTGGCTATGCTAAACCATTAGGGCAGGGAATAAACACCTGTGTTCTGGAATCCAGGAACCTGGATTTGACTCCAGGTCTACCTTTTACCAGCTATGTGGCCTTTGGCTTAAGTTACTCGACCACTCTGAACCTTACCCTTCTCTCCGTTCATCAGGTTTCAACTACAAGTCAGGCTCTAGGATGAGCACTAGGGGAACGAATCCTTATGGCTAATCCCTAGATGGACCTCATTCTTCCTAAGCGACCGTGAAACTTTTAAATAATTACCATATTCTAGGCCAATCACCCTTTGGAGAAGGGTAATTGCTCCTAATCTCTTACAGTTACCTTTTCTCTGAACCCACTGGGGATAATCTCAGTATTCAGCTACTTTCAAGGAGTCAGCAATATTGAACAGATCTGTAAAACAGAAAACTTCTAATGAGAGGGATACCTGCCAGCCCTTTTAAGGAATGAGAACGCCATGTGAATCTCCTAAGAAACATCACTGAAGACTTAGCAGTAAGGACAGAAAACACCACATACCCCACGGAAGACTTTGCCCAACCCCCACTCTCACACCTCCTTCCCAAGCGCCAGAAGGAGGAGTGGGGGCTGGCAGGGGTTCTCCCTTGCCCACCTGCCACCAGCCCAGCAGACTCAGGGCTTCTCTGTCCTCATAATATCTCCCTGCTCTGACACAGCCCCTCCCAACCCGCCAGCCCACACCCACCAGCGAAGGGCACGTAGCTACCTCACCCTCCCTCCTTAAAATGCATGAGGGGGAGGGGCTGCAATTATATAATGTATATTTTATTTTCTTGTCCTGCATGCTCTGAACGGTACTGCTTAATTGTCATGACCTGTGTTTGTCAAATGGCTCTTTAGGAATCTTTGTCTAACCTTTGTTCTTTCAGAATCATTAGATCAGTGAAGTTGTGACAATTTGTTTTTAGTTCTAAGGGAAGACAAAAGGTATCTTTGGTATATGATGAATACATTCAAGTGTGTGTGTGTGCGCGCGTGTGTGTGTGTGTAGCAGGATAAAGAGGGGGAATCAGTGATGATGAGGATGAAGGTGGAATTTTTACTGAAATGGAAAAAGGCTTCTGGCTGAACGACTCCAAGTTATTATGACTTCATCTCATACAAAAGGAGATAAGTAGTTTCTATTCAGAGTCTAAAATAAGCTTGAAAAAACACCAGGCAAGCCCAATGCCTGTCATTCTTTCTCTAGAGAAGGGTAATTGCTCCTAATCTCTTACAGTTACCTTTTCTCTGAACCCACTGAGGATAATCTCAGGGGCAAGTTTCTGAGTCATGAGCAATACCAGAAGGCTCAGTGGCCTGATGGGGAAATCCTCCTCTCTTGGGTGACCTCTGAAATTATGCTTCTAATCCTGGATAAAGGAGGCAAATGAATCATTGTCAGTCTGGAGGTGCCCTGAAGCTTATCCAAGAAACTGGTCAAAGGACTACGACGAAAACAAGAGCTGGAAGAGAAGGCACAACAAATATGGTGCCTCTAGGGCTATTGCCCTACTGGGTAGGGAAACTCAAGTCATTGAATCAAAAGAGCACAATACGTCCAGATCCATCAGATTCCTAGTGCTTAAGACCACCACAAGAGTAAATTGTTATGTATTCAACCATTGGTCATTCAACTGCTATTGAGGGCCTACTATGCATTCACCAAACACCCAGTCACTAATACTCAACAACTAATATACACCAGGCACTGTTCTGAGCTCTGGAAATTCAAAGTGAAAAGGCAGACAAAAATCTCAGACCTCTAGTTGAGAGAATTTGAGCACTTAGCAATAAACTAATAGATATGTATTAGGGTTTTCCTGCGATGGTCTCAGTTTGTATGTGTTATTCCAAAGAAATTATTAATAGCATCCTCTTTTACTTTTAAAATTATTAGTTTGGAAGGATAAATTACATGGCCACTCTACTAAAAGTCAAGGAAGATAAAGATTGGATTTATCAAAATAACAACTGGAACAGCTGAAGTTTAAATGGAATGCCTGGGGAGAAAATCTGACTGAAATTACTTGAAAAAGAATGGGCAAAAACCAGCAATGGACACTGTGAGTGAAATTAGTTATTTTGAAGAGTTTGATTTAAAGGGAAGCAGAAAACTAGAACAAAAACTGGTGTGCATTCAGAGAGTTTATTTTTAGTATGAGACAAATAGGAGCCTGTTTGTACGTTAATGGATTCACCTGCTTAAATGGGAACCTTGGTGATGAATAAGGAGTGAAGGCAATTGTTGAAGAGCTGTCCTTGAGTAAGAGAGAGGAGAGGAGAGCCATTGTGGATGCAGAGGAAATGCCATGGATAAGAGAGAAGAGGATTTATCTGTTGTACTGGAAGAAAGATTACGGATGGATGGATGGGTGGATGGATAAATGGGTACCTAGGTGGGTAGGTGGGTGAATGGATGGATGAATGGATGGACAGGTGGGTGAGTGAGTGAGTAGGTGGGTGGTTGGATAGATGAACAGATGGATAATAGATGAATGAATGAGTGGAGAGATGAATGGATAGATGATGGATGGATGGATAGGTAAGTGGGTGGGTGGGTGAATAGATGAACAGATGGATAATAGATGAATGAATGAGTGGAGAGATGGATGGATGGATGGATGGATAGGTGAGTTGGGGGGTGGGTGCCTAGTTAGGTAAATGGATGAATGAATGAATGAATGAATGGACTGACGAGATAGGCACAAGCTTAGGTAGATGTGGTAATGGATGCTAGTAGAAATTCTCATTATATTACCTTAATTTTCTTAGCAAAGTAAGAATCAAGGCCTTCTTTGGTGGGGAAGAGGTGTTAGGGACTTGAGGAAGAGAGAAGAATTCGTGAGGTTGGTGTCTGGAAAAATAGGAGAGTGAACAGACTTGGGAAAAATGCAAAGACTATCTGGCATCCCACATGGATGCTTGGGATGTGTGGTCTTCACTGTGATGAAAGAGGATCAGCATGGTTAGGGGGTTTCTCTTCAGCCACATTTGCTGGTTGAGTGCATACTCGAAGTTCTGGAAAGTTGGATGTAACAAGCTTTCAGATCTCAT